AATTTGTTCCGAAAATAATAATCACCTTTGACACACAAATTAAATAAAATATTAATATGTACGTTATTAATGTACATATTTTTAAATATGAAATTTCTGAAATAGTTTTAATTGTATGTGCGGTACCTGCACAACATATATATATATATATATATATATATATTTTTTTTTAACCCAACGTTGCTAATAGTTGACAATATTCTTCACCTATTAACTACTTCAGACTCTAAATATATCATAGGGATTACAAAAAAATTATATTTCTGTTTAAAAATTTATTACTGAAGAATTATTATTATTGTTAATTGTAAAAAATTCGTTCGAAAATATTGATCAGGAAAAATAAATTTCTCTTAATCAAAATCATGAAATCATTTTTTAAAAATTTGACCAGATTTTATTTTGTCCAATTTTGTGTAGCTAATTTAAGGTTATCATTATTTAAGAATGGACTTTTGCGATAATAAAAACGGCATTGAAGCCAATGTAGACCTGTCATAAAAACTGGCTGTACAAGTTACTACATCAAACCCTAAAACCATATAGAGATCAACACGTGTAAGGAATTTAATTTTGCTAGTGGCTAAAATATATCTTTTGAGAGAAACGATTTTTATTTAACTAACAGTTTTAAAAGTAATTTTATAATGTGTTGAAAAGATAATTTTGTTACCTTTTAGTGTGTATTAAATTAAAATTAAATAAAATAAAGTAAAGAAATGAAGGTAATGTTAAACTATTTTTAATAGTGGTTAAATAGTTGACTGTCTTGAATAATGAAGAGAAGAATAGTTGGGGTGATCAGTCAAACAAGAAGGCAAAATAAATGATAATATTTATTTTTTAATTTTTATTTTTAATAAAATAAATTAAAATAAATATTATCATTTATTTTGCCTTCTTATTTGACTGATCAACCCAACTATTCTTCTCTTCATAAATAATTTTTAATTACTTAAATTAAACATTTTTTATGTTATCGCTTCCTATGAAAGAGAAAACATGTGGAAGAGAGGCACTGGGATCTCCTGGATTCCTAATTATCCTTTCACATTTGGGAAACAAATCTTGACTCGGAGTTACCTGGGTGAATGTAAATATTGTACATAGGAATGAATTTGTTAAGAAGATTTATTTTATTTTTACTTATTGATTTATTTTTTATTTAGCTCATGTATTATTTATGTATGTTATTTTATTTTTATAATTAATTTTTTCTTAGTATAATCATTTATTTTTATTTATTCATTTATTTATTTTTTAATCTTCTATTATATGTATGATTGAACAAATTTAGCCTTGTTACTTCAAGTTTGTCTTTGCCCAATGTGACTTATTGTACTATTTTTTGTTCAATAAAATTAAAAAAAATAAAATCCCCTCCTAGAGTTTGGCCATTAAGAAGACCTGTGACATACTACAAGCAATTGAAAATTTTATAGTAATATTTTTATATAAATAATATTAAATAAATAATTAATTAATTTTGCTTGAACCATAGTGTGTATCAATAAATTAGAATGAAGTTGTTTGAACTGCTGAAATTGTTATTTGGAATAACAGAGTAATGAAACACATATTATCTTAAGTTTTACATTTTTTTTTTTTTTTTTTTTTTTACAGCCAGCGTTTCAGCCCTTCAGGACATTTTCGAAGAAACAATCCTTACTTTATAAAATAAAATCATTTAGGTAAATTCTTTGGGTGTCAGGGTGTCCTCTAAATAGAGAGAACAAATATTTAAAGAGTGATAGTAGGCATCAAGGGCTTCAAAAAGGTGTATATAAACAATGGCCCAATTTCCAGCAAAAACTCTTTTTTTTTTTCAAAAGAGACTTGTTTTGTTTTTTTAAACGGAAACGATCACTAAAACAATATTTAATTTACGTAATTATCGATTGCTCCCTAGTAAACTAGAATTTACTTCAAACGAAAGAAGAATTTGTCATTATTGAAATCGTTTAAAGAGGGCGATTAAACTAAGTTCGGTTTAAAAAAAATTATAAAATATTTGATATTTTTTTATAATCACTCTATAACTATACTACAGATATCCAATTTTTAGAAAAAAAACTTCCGAGTTCAATACGCTTTAAGACCATATTAAATGAGTCGAGTTTTATTTTTTATTTTTTGTTTTTTATTTATTTATTTATTTATTTAGAAATGTAATAATCTGTCACGTGGACAATAATTTTAGTAATATATGAACACATTCACAGTATATATGAAAAAAATATAAAATTAACAAAAGTAAAATAATAACTAAATAATAATCAAAAACTATGTACAATAAAAAATAAAATAATCTAAAAATAAGTAAATTAAAAACATAAAAACACAGTCATACCTAAGGTTTATTACAAAAAAATTTGAGATTCCCCTCAAGTTGTATAATAATATTATGTTTGATATTCTGTCGCCAAAAAGTTACTATGTTTTCAGTAAAAATGATTATAATATTATATAGGAGAGTCACGTTTTTTTTTTTTTTAAACGGAAACGATAACTAAACAAACATTTAATTTACGTAATTATAGATCGCTCCCTAGTAAACTAGAATTTACGCCAAACGAAAGAAGAATGATATGACAAGACGATTGGGCGGTTAAACTTAACTAAGTTCTGTTAAAAAAATATATCATAAAATATTTGCGAATTTTGTCACAATAACTCTTTAACTATACTACAGATAACCACACTTTTAGAAGAACTTACGCGTTCAATACACTTTAAGACCATATTAATTGAGTCGAGGTTTATTTTTAATTGTTTGTTTTTTATTTATTTAGAAATATAATAATCTGTCACGTGGACAATAAATATAGTGATATATGAACACATTCACAGCATATATGAAGAAAATATAAAATTAACAACAATAAAATAATAATCAAAAACTATGTACAATAAAAAATAAAATAATCTAAAAATAAGTAAATTAAAAACATAAAAACACAGTCATATCTCAGGTTTATTAGAAACAATTTTAAATTCACCTCAAGTTGCGTAAAAACATTATGTTTGATATCCTATCATCTAAAAGAAACTATGTTTTTCAGTAAAAATGATTAATTTTAATCTTTAATTTTCTTTTTGTCTATTTAACTGTTGCAAAGCTTTTATTTATTCTTTTACCCTGTTCGGGATGTATTTTAATAAATATAATTACCAAAAAAAAAACACATTTTAATGTATTAAAATAAAAATTTAAAAATAATATTTTAAAAAAATATTTTTCAGTTAATGTGGTTATGAAATTGTATTCTATTTGTATTGTATTGTATTAGTAAGAAAAATTAAGTTTGTCATTGATAAATACTTATCAATTTCTGAGATCTGGGAGTAAAAATAATTTCATGACCATTTTACATGAAAAATATTTAAAAAATCATTATTTTTATAAATAAAGTGTGTTTTTAGGGAATTATTTTTATTACAAAACAACCCATATCATGGAAAAACAATAAATAAAAGATTTGCAAAAGTTAATTGTAGTCATTGAAAACAAGGGTACTTTTAGGTGACTGGATAGAAAATCACCTCATTTATTTTATTTATTTAAGTGGGGTAAATGTACAATTGAAGGTTGATAAAAAAAATATCACGAATAATTTATGACTTTTTTTCAAACCGAACTTAGCTGACTTTGTTCGCAGTTTTTTTCCCTTTTCTTACACTGCGTCGCGTTAAGATACAATTTTGAATAATAGCTCATTACAAAGAGGATGAAATTTTAAACATATGATAACAATATGCAGGGACATTTTGAGTTTTTGAGATATATTAATCGGTATCTTCAATAAAACTCGTTATAATTTGGTCTTCGACACTATTTGTGTGAGCCTGTTCGATCATTTCTTATCCATCCAGTTTCCATGAAATTGTAAATAGATACTAATGTAAATATGTATATAAATTATTAGTTCGTTCTTCATTATTGTTTTTTCTATTTTTTATTTTTTTATTATTAACTGATTAAAATTAGAAAGTAACTTATAATTTTTCATTTTTTTTACTATGACTGTTTAATTATTCTGTATTTTTATTTATGTATCTCTAAGGCTCTTTAGTCCGTATTTATGTCTTTCTGTATTATTCTAAAGGGACTCATCCTAGAATAAATAAAGTGTTGTTATTATTATTTTTTTTCATTTTCGTTTCTCCAACACAGCGTCGCGATGAGATACAATTTTTAATAATAGCTCATTACAAAGAAGATGAAATTTTAAACATATGATAACAATATACAGGGACATTTTTAGTTTTTGAGATATATTAATCGATATCTTCAATAAAACTCGTTATAATTTGGTCTTCGACACTATTTGTGTATGCCTGTTCGATCATTTCTTATCCATCCAGTCCCGATGAAATTGTAAATAGATACTAATGTAAATATGTATATAAATTATTAGTTCGTTCTTCATTATTTTTTTTCTATTTTTTATTTTTTTATTATTGACTGATTAGAATTAGAAAGTAACTTATAATTTTTCATTTTTTTACTATGACTGTTTATAATTATTCTGTATTTTTATTTATGTATCTCTAAGGCTCTTTAGTCCGTATTTATGTCTTTCTGTATTATTCTAAAGGGACTCATCCTAGAATAAATAAAGTATTATTATTATTTTTTTTTCTATTTTCGTCTCTCTAACACAGCGTCGCGATGAGATACAATTTTTAATAATAGCTCATTACAAAGAGGATGAAATGATAAAAATTTCCCTCGCTTAACAATATGCAGGTCCGATTAGTCGGTTCCAGCTGACCTTGTCATAGCGTTACACATCGGAGATCTGACGGCTCAATCTAAATCACTCTCCACAAAAAAAAAAAGTTTTAACTTAAAAAAATATAATTAATGAAGATCATCGATAGTCCGGACGATAACGGCTGCTCTGGTGTATTGCATTGTGTAATATTCGGCGACCGGTCCCGATCAGCTGATAGGACGCGAAGCGGTTCAGTCGGTGTCCAACTATCGCCGGTGCAAGATGCGTTCCGGATTCCTCTGCGTCCTCTTCCTCGCGGCGTTCTCCCAGCCGATCTCTTCGGCCAGGATACTCGCCCTCATGCCCTACTTCGGAGCCTCCCATTTCTTCGTCTTCGAGCCCTTCTTCGAAGAGCTGGCTCGAAGAGGGCACTCCTTGGACGTCGTCAGTTATGTCCCCAGGAAGACCCCTATACCCAACTACAGAGACATCTCTTTAAAGGCCCTTTTGAACGAAAGCTCGTCAACAGTCGGATTCCTTGATTTTCAGATGTGAGTAGTGTCTTTTTTACAATTATTATTTCAATATTTACAAAGTGAAATAGAATAGAATAGAAACATTTTATTGGCTTAATATACATCGTAGCCACGGAGTCTGGCCCATTTAGTGTTAGTAGGGATTAGTTTTATAAGTAGAAGAAAATAAGTACAGTATAAGAAAACAAAAACAAAAATATTTTTATATAACAAACATCATAAATATTTTTATACTTCAAACATTTTTACTATTTATATATATAAATATCTTTATATAATAAATATCATAAATGAATAAAAATACATATATACTAAAGAAAATTTACTATACAGAACACAACAAAGCAAAACAAATAGTAGAGATCTTAGGATTACAACGCACATGTAGAATCGTACAATTATTAATAATAATATTTAAAAGGCACACAAATTGTGACCTAAAGCTGAGGGTTTGTACTTGTATTGATAGAGTCACAAACACTTATAATAAAATAATATATTTTGTTCAACTGGTCAAGATTTTTTATATCCAACACACACTCCAGCGATAAATGATCTGTGACAGCCTCTATATGTGTATGTAGGTATTTCCTTCTATGTGTGTCTCCAGAAACCAACACTCCAGCATCAAGTGCTTTAAACCGTTATTGATAAGTTGGCCGCACCACTTGCAGACTTCGTTTATATTTATAACGTATGTAATGTTCCCATGGAGCAATTTTAGATAGTCTCTACCCGATACTCTTAAACGACTTACCGTCCGTAACTTTCTTAGAAGTATCATAAATTTTAAATAATTTTCGGGTTCTGAGCGATTGTAACCACAAATACGTCCGATATATTGGGCTGTAATTTGAATCGTAGCCACGTTCAATGTCTTTGGAGTATAAATTGTTAGATATAGTCGTTAAAATAACATTTTTGTTTCTAAGAAGTATTCCTAGATCAGAAAAACGATTAAAATATTCTTCAAAGAAATTAGAAGCGGCTATATTTTTAAGTTGTAAGAACCAATTAAAACCCAGATTTGGCTCCCTAGCATCAAGAGCCACAGTTTCTCCAAGCATTTTTGGGAAGCCGGTGGTTCGGTAGTGATGACAATCTTACTATATAGAAATCTATAAAAACTTGTACCACTACAACCCATGAAGGGTCTGGGGTTCAGTACTATTTAGGGAGAGCACCGTTTCTACGTCAACGGTAGTGAAAGGAGGTGATTAGACCGAGATCACGCTCAACCGCCAGGTTGAAAATAGAATAGAAATAGAAATCTATAGCTTTCTTTAAAACAGCTAACAAGATCGGTGAGCGACCAGTTCCCAATCTAACTATGTAATTAGGAGTCTATTTTGGCCAGAGATATAAGAGTTTGAGAAATTTCATCTGTGCCAATTCGATTGATTGCAAATATCTCAAGCCCGAGATTTCTGCTGCATACAGAAGTATTTACAAAGTGTCCCGTAAGTATAGGGGATTATTTGAACCTACAAAAAAGTTCAAATAATCAATTGCCTAATTTCCATCTGAAAAGTAGAAAATTTAAGATTTGAATTTTTTTAATCGAGTTACGTTTTTTGTTGAATAGGAAGCGATAACATAAAAAATATTTGTTTAAAGTATTTCAACATTGCTCTATAGTAAACTAGACAAAATTTACTTTAAAACAAAGCTGAGTTTGTCATTGTTAAAAAAATTTAAAAAGCTAAGTTCGGTTTAAAGAAAAGTCATAATATACTTTTATTTTTTTAACAACTTTCAACTGTACTAAATTTACCTCACTTTTAGAAAAACTTCCTCTTTAAATAAGCTTTAAGGCCATATTAATTAAGTTGAGATTTATTAGGAAAAATTTTTGAGATTCACTCCAAGTTGTGTAATGAAATGTGATTTTCTATCCAGTACCGAAAAGTACTCTTATTTTTTTGCCAAAATGACTAAAATTAACTATTAAAAAGCTTTTATTTCTTGTTTTTCCGTGATATGGAATGTTTTGTAATAAACATAATTCCCTAAAAACACACTTTATTTATAAAATTAAAAATAATGATTTTTTAAAAAATTTTCATATAAAGTGGCCATGAAATTATTTTTTACTCCCAAATCTCAGGAATCGATAAGCATTTATCAGTGATACACTTGATATTTCTCACTAAAATTTACGTTTAAAAAAAAATAAACCTACTGATTGCTTCAATTATTTTCATGAAAAAGTAAATATTAAGGCTAGAAACATTAAGTTTGTCACTTAAAAATAAGCATCAATTATTATGATAGAAATCTGGGAGAAAAACACAATTTCATAACCACATTACTAGAAAAATATTTTTAAAAAATATTATTTTTAATATTATTAAATAATATGTTTTTTTTTGCCAATTATATTTATTAAAATACATCCCAGAACACGGTAAAAGAATAAATAAAAGCTTTGCAACAGTTAATTAGACATACATTAAAAGAAAAGAAAAAGATAATTAAAGCTTATCAATAATTTATTATAATCATTTTTACTGAAAACATAGTTACTTTTTGGAGACAGAATATCAAACATAATATTATTATACAACTTGAGGGGAATCTCAAATTTTTTTTTAATAAACCTCAGGTATGACTGTGTTTTTATGTTTTTAATTTACTTATTTTTAGATTATTTTATTTTTTATTGTACACAGTTTTTGATTATTATTTAGTTATTATTTTACTTTTGTTAATTTTATATTTTTTTCATATATACTGTGAATGTGTTCATATATTACTAAAATTATTGTCCACGTGACAGATTATTATATTTCTAAATAAATAAATAAATAAAAAACAAAAAATAAAAAATAAAACTCGACTCATTTAATATGGTCTTAAAGCGTATTGAACTCGGAAGTTTTTTTCTAAAAATTGGATATCTGTAGTATAGTTATAGAGTGATTATAAAAAAATAGCAAATATTTTATAATTTTTTTTAAACCGAACTTAGTTTAATCGCCCTCTTTAAACGATTTCAACAATGACAAATTCTTCTTTCGTTTGAAGTAAATTCTAGTTTACTAGGGAGCAATCGATAATTACGTAAATTAAATATTGTTTTAGTTATCGTTTCCATTTAAAAAAAACAAAACAAGACTCTTTTGAAAAAAAAAGAATTTTTGCTGGAAATTGGGCCATTGTTTATATACACCTTTTTGAAGCTCTTGATGTCTAATACCACTCTTTAAATATTTGTTCTCTCTACTTAAAGGACACCCTTTAATCTAAAGAGTTTACCTAAATGATTTTATTTTATAAAGTAAGGATTGTTTCTTCGAAAATGTCCTGAAGGGCTGATACGCTGAGTGTAAAAAAAAAAAGAAAATTTAAACTAAAGATAATATGTGTTTTTTTTTACTATGTTATTCGAAATAACAATTTCCGCAGTTAAAAGAACTTCATTCTAATTTATTAATACGCACTAAGGTACAAGCAACATTAATTTTATATATATATATATATATATATATATTTTTTTTTTTTTTTTTTAGTATTAATTACATAAAAATATTACTATTAAGTTTTCTAGAGTATATAGGATGTCATAGTTCTTAATGGCCAAACTAAAAAAAAATCTCTCTTTTCTCAAAATTTTCCAAAAAAACAAAATTCTGTTTCATAGGAAACCATGTCACAACAATTATTTAATTCAGGTAATTAAAAATTGTTTCATCGTAAACTAGATAAAATTTCCTTCAAATATGAGTAGCCCTCCGAGGCGTCTAAAAAGAAGATGGCCTCGTGATCTACTTATGTAAATATATTATTAGAGTGCTACCAATGGGTAGTTTCTCAACAAGCGTTTTCATGTGATTGTATTATTACTGTGTGCAAATTTACTAGTTGTATTGTTTTACAATACAGTTGTAAATATTATTTATTTATTATTTTATCAATGAATAAAAAAAAAATATAAGTAGAATTTTTCTTTGCAAGAACCATTTAAAGGGAACTTTTAAGTGGCCAAACTACGCTAAGTTGTGCTTTTCATTAAATCATGGATTATTCGCGATGCTTTTTTGTCATCCTACAGATATCTCACTTTTATAAAAACTTCCTCGTTTAATAATCTTTAATTTAATACCAATTTGTTTAATATTTGTTTTAGAATAGAGTTGAGATTTGTGTAAAAAAATATGTGATTTTATATTCTGTCATTCCAGAGTATCTGTATTTTAAGAAAAATAAATAAAAACATAGAAATTATTACAAAGTTATAATTCATAATTAATCAAAACTACATTATTATAAATTAAATTTTCTAAATGTAACTAAATAAATGAAACACTAGATTTTTTTTTCATCTTGGTAAACATAAATATTAGGATTAAAAACATTTAGTTTGTTACTTAATACCATAAGGATCAATTTCCACAATAGATATCAGTGCTATAAACAATGGGTCATTATCACCGTAGATAATACATTTTTGAAAAAGCTGTATTTTTTTATCATATTTTTTTAATAAATTTAAAAATGTATCACTACAACCCATGAAGGGTCTTCGGTTAAGTACTATTTTAGGAAAAGCACTGTTTCTTGGTCTACAGTCAAGGAGGTGATTTGACCGAGATCACGCTCAACCGCCAGGTTTTCTCCCTTAATTAAGGTTACCCAATTTATAGAGGCTGAGTGTGCCCCAGAAGGGTCTACCTACCCAGAGCCTATGAAACAGAATAAATAATATTTCTTCTATGTCATGAGCCGGGATTCGAACCTGGGAACTTTAGCACTGGAAGCTCAGTACCCTACCACTGACCTACCCCACTCCCTTTTTTAATAAATAAAAGTTGTATTTTTATAATGAATTTATTAAAATAGATGTTTCTCAACTGTATTTCCCAACAAACTTCAATTAAATTGATATGAATATAAAGGTTATTAAACAACGAAATATTAAAGTAGGGTGTCTGTATTACAGTTGTAAGATGATAAAAAGAAAAAAACATCGATGATATAATGAAAAACAAAACTACGCGTAGTTTGGCCATTCA